TAGGTAAGTAATGAAAGAGGGGTTCCCGTGATTTGTGCGTGGGAGGGGCTGTAAAGTGTTAAAGTACAGTTTGTGGAGTTTCTGGCACCTTACGGTTTGGGTTAGAATGATTTTCCTGAAGGCTCAGTTTTTAGCCAAATCCATAAAGATGCACTGAAGTCACTCGCTATAAGTCTTCTATACCAACCTTACAAGAGTTTCAGTTTCAGGAAATAATCCACAAAACACCTGGTATCGCGGTATGCTACAACTATCTCAATATTATGTTCTTTACATTTCAATCCTCACAGCACCAAATCTTATGATCTATATTCATGTGGCATTGTTTCCACAGTTTCTGTGAATAAAGTATTTCTCAAGAAAGTAACTGAACACCCAGTCTATCGATTAGTTCTCAATAGTGAGTGTCCCTTCCGTAGTATTTCACAATCTCTTAATTCTGATATCGCTTTTCTGAAGTTGAGATGATATCAGAATTATTTATGCTGACCATATTGTTGAGCTTCGCTTCTTCATTCAGCAAACTTTGAGTATTATTATAAAGGATTAAGAAATATATTTTTAACACCCTCTTATGCCAAGTGTAGTGGTTTGAGAACTGCTGGTTTACGAAATATGACGATACGAACACGCGGTAATCACTGATGCACCAAAAAGATTGTTAACACTTTACCAGAAGTGTCAGTTTATGAGTAAAGCGAAACGATAACAACTGACACTTCAAAGAAAAGGGTATATCAAATAACAATATGATAAAAATTGTTATGAAAAAAATGACGTACAGGTTTCATATGAGATAATGAACACAAAGGAGTTCACTTGATTAACTCAGGTTCTTTTGCACGTGGTGGCACAGGCAGCGTGACACGAATGATAGACCTGATAGTGTTGTTGAATAATCCGAGCCAAGTTTCAACGTAGTGCGAAATCCCCCAATAGGATGTTATAACACTACTCTAGTCTTTAATAATAGGCTATGGTCAACAAAGCAGTAGGATAGATGACGGAAATAGTATTTACTTGAATAAAAAGGGTAGCATGTACATTGAAAATGCCAAAGAACAATTTTCATTTTACAAAATGAAGGAGACAAACAATAGATATTGAATTTAAATGTGATTAAGCTTAAAATGTCACGGAGAAAGAAAAAGTGAAATCTTCATTTTGTTTTTATAACAATCAATGAACGTGCAATTACTTAGAACCTGATATATTATTATTATTATTATTCTATTATCACTATTGTCTTTTTTCTCTTTTTCAAATATGGCAAATATAATGCTAACATTATTGAAACTTGTGTATTATTGCATTTTTGAAGAAACCCGAGGTAGTTTTTTCACAACGCTTATGTACCCATAAGATGTTTGTGAATAATAATAATAATCCTTTCCCCAATACATACGTCACCAGATGTACGTCAAACGTCGACTCAGATTACTTAGGAGGGAAAATTTTATGCATCAAACAACGAAGAGAATAATAAATAAGTGGCATCAAAAGATGTTTATGTATGTATACTGACAATGGATGAGAAGGGTTTGTGTGGTAATACATTTTATCCGAATGTTTATATTTATTTATATGAACGTATATAAAAGGTTTGATAATAATACAATTCCTGACGACAAAAAGAGTGTTAATAATAATATCAACAATAATTATAGTGATGATTGAACTGATCGGCAGTAAAGTGTACAAACATAACAAAGTTTAACATCGTTGTACACCTAATAACGAATAATAAACAATATGTACACACACATGGAGATAATGCAGAGAGCATATCAACAGCAATAATGCGAAAGGACAGGTTTGTTTGTGAAATGCTGGAACGAGATCGAAAATTGTCTTGTTATTTCATCCGTTGTTGGAATTTCTATAAGGAGACCATAACTAATTTGTTAGAAATGTAATAATAACCTTAGCTTCCGTATTTCGTTTGTTTTATTGTTTGCAAGACACCGGAACGTTTGCAGGATCAGTCAAATTGAGTTACCTGTAAACAAGGATAAGTCTTTAGGCAAGTAATTTTCGGGGAGTTACCACTTTAAAATAAGGCGAGTTAACATCTCTTGCTGCATATTGTACTTGCAATTTATCTACTATCTGAAATTTTACTTTGGGTGTCTAAAAAGTATTAGTAACGTAGTAGTAAATCAATGTACTAATTTACCAACTTGTTGCTTGCCGTTTCTGCTTGCGGACATAAGTAGCATTTAAAACTTGGTCCATAATATTTCATGTCACCATATGGTTACATATGCATTGGAATATACCGGTAGAAGTTCATGATAAACAATCTTTTCAACATCCATGAGCTGACCAAAATTAGCAGTTAAAAACGTTAGATGGTTTTATCATCATGAAGATGTGATACGGAAAATTACGTTACTTCACATTGTAGCACATCATTGCAATTCCGATCACCAGATTCACATTTGAACATCACTTTCCAGTCTGGTTTGGGCACTTGCATCATCTCATTACTAGTCATACTAAAGATGTGGCCGACTATATAGTGATGGGGTTGATCATTCAATTTCCCTAATTACTTTGAAATTTTACATTTCCAATGTTTTAAAGTGTTTTCCAAAATAAAAACTCCCACCTGTGAACTAAATCTGGCTGCGAGATTTTAACTTCGTGTCACTCTTGAGATGTAAGCATTTTATAACACATTTAAGGCTTTGTTTGAAGGCATCGGCGTGTAATGTCCATTTGTAAAATGAGGAATTAAGTTATTAATCTGCATTATTCTTTAACTTTATTGTAAGATCCAAAGTACGGTTTGGATTGAAGGACAGCTGTCTGTATGAGGTAGATATGAGCCCTCGCCCGACTGAAACCAAAACAAAGCAATTGGGTAAGATGGCGGTTCTATAATTTATCATAAATTTAAGTGTACATTATTACCTAAACAAATATAATCACTCAGCTATCCAACTAATAATTGTTCAAGTGATCAAATCTAAACTACAATAAATAAGAAAGTTGATAAAGGATGCAAGAAAATTACCAATCACCACAAATAAATGTTATTCTATCCTGTCTGGATAGATCACGTACAGATTCGTTCAAAAGGTAATAATTGGTCGTTCTATAACACAGAGTGTTTTCAATTCTGAAAGAGTGCTTCAATTCACAACCAAAATGCACAATTCCAGTCAACACAGGTCAAGCAATCAAAAGCAAGAACAAACCAAAATGGCTGCCGCCAAGACTTAGCATAAAGTAAAACAACATGATGTCTGTTCTATGCTTCTTATGTTGGTAAAAATTGACCATGAATGAAAGTGTATTACGACTCTTGTGTGAAGTGGCATTCATTTCACATAGTGAGTCTACTTTATTTTCTTTGAAGATCAACACAGCAACGTGATTATTATAAATGTCGATTGGTAGGTTTAATATTATTTTATCTTTGTATCAGTTCGGTTGTTGATTCCCAATTTTTGTCAGCTTGGGTCAACCCAAAAGTAGAACTGTACTGTACCATGGATAATCAGCGATTTTTAGCGACAAAAAAGATCACACTTTATGTGTAACCACATTTATATCCAATAGCTGTTGTTTCTCTGTATCGATGACAAGGAAACTGATATAATGAATATATAGAACGCACTACCGCGACTTTTGAAGACGAACGTATGTTCATCGTGGCACGGACTAGCGGGTAAGCCAGGGATTTTCGCGCACACGTTACATATTGTCGTGGATTTTTTGTGTCGTTATTTATCAGCTATTAACAGGCTTTTTTGTATGACACATCAATTTCTGTATTGCTAGTGCTTGTAACATAGTTTTATTCCAATTTATTGGCAGTTTGACGTATTTCTTGCTCACCACGTAAGTAAATCTGAAGTTAGCTTAATATAGTTATTTGTAACAATACAAACTCAAGCAAGTAAAGTTCACCGTTTTTCTAGTCAAAAAATACACCACAGATTGAGTTTTAATGAAAATTAACCGTAAAATCTTTTACATATGGTTCACCTCCTTGATTGCGGTGACGGTGAACATGGATGTCGGTAGTTGTTTATAAAATGTAAGTAGAAGCAATCAAGCGTTAACCTAATTGTGAATATTATATAACTTGCTTGTATTTAGCCATAAAAAGTTATATTTATTAGAGGTACCATTGTTTTGTACTGAAGTGACATAATTATGTAACGTATCTGAGAAAAGAAATATGTGAGTAACAATTGACGTTTATGGTGTTGTCCAGCGGCTTTCTGAACGTCTGCAGTAATAGTGTATAACACCACATCAAGTAGGAACAAAATCTTCATGAATAAAACGATCGGTGTTTCTTGTGAGAATGGTGACACAACCATGTTTTTTAGTTAATACTGATTTGTGAGGTGTCTGTTATAGGGTTCACAAATGAGTTATTATATACTCTTCACTCCGTCTCGGTAATACAGTTGTTGTGTTACTTAGGAAGTTATGAATGAATGTCACTACTTGTTAATAAAAGACTTATAGGCACAGTCTGTTACTTGCTATTTGAATAACTTATTGAATATGATACTGAGAACAAAGTTTAATTGTTTGTCTCAAAACGGATTTGTTGTTTTTCAGAATAGTATGAAGCTTATGGAATTTAGGATTACGGAAGATCGTGTGGAAAACCGGTTTACAAGTTTACGATAACTGTTTTATATTACCTACTGCTATGCTCATTCATCTAATGAATTATTTAAATATAAATATAACAACCATACGCAGTGTTTTATATTATAAATCCTGTAAGTTTGTATAATTATGGTCTAAATAAAGCCAAAACAAATATTGACGCAGAATCATGTGACTGCATTACATTTCGTGGTTTCTCATAAGTTGCATACAACTGAATATGCATTGTAATTTAAGATTGAGGGAAGAAATAGTATGAAAGATAATAGAAAGCAAAGAATTGGAATGACCTAGGTTATCAATAATAACTATACATATGTATATGCTTGAACAGGTCAAAGGTCATTTGGTGTTAGACTTAAGTTCTTCGTACTTTCGTCTGCTTTACTGGCCGTGGCTGGTGGTTGAGGATTTTACTAGTGTCGTAACATACTTTTAAGTCTTTTCTCACTACGTTGGGTATTTGGCACGGATTATTACCACGTAATACTATCGGATTTAGTCTTTCTCATTACGCCGTTGGTTCGACCATATTCATAGGAACCTTTGTTAATCATATGAACTCTGAGAGCAGCTTACAAGTAACATTCATTTCATAATAACTGTTATAATTTTGTTATATAATATTCAATTTGCATTGTAACCGCAATTTGTTACTTTCTGCTCTACTCGTAATTGACACTGAGGTTCGTAGTGATAGTTCTTTATGGTATATTGTTGTTAACTTTGTATATTGTTATATCTCGAATAATCTCTTTTCTGGGATCGATCGCAAGTATAACTAGGCGTAAAAGGCTATCAACTGATCACTTTCCAGAAGTGACTTTATTCATTTCTTAACTGGGAAAATTAATTTAATTCTCATTATTTAACTGAACAGTGTTTAAAGATATAAATGGTCGCCAGTTAACTGTTTGCTCAACATCAAATATTGTGTTTTGTTTTACAGTTCAGAAAGATGATCGCTTCTGGATCTCCATTGTATCATAACTTAAAGGGTTGAGTTCCACAACTCGTTATTCTAGTAAAAGTACAAAGATCCTTTTTATAAGTGCACATTTAACCTTCAAAATACTTGAATGTTCATTAAGATGTATATTTTTATATTAAAGCTGTATCATTCCTACTTTTTGTATTTAGAACTAAACAGCTCTTACTCGGCCTCAAAAAAGCAAATGTTTTCAGTTTGTCGACAGTTTTATTTCAGCAAAGTCACTTTTGTCGCTCTACCCAGCAAATATCAGAGAGCATTACACCATGAGTCAAGACACAAAATCGAAAAAATAAAATTAAGAGAGCCTTTCGCTGTCGTTGCTGGGAACTTGCCGAAGACAGCTTTGAATGGTGAGCAAGCTTTCAATTTTTTGAATGATGGTAAGTTGCCTGACTTTAATATAATTGTATTTGGAACTAGATGCAAAAGTTTTTATTCACGGCGGCGCAGCTACACCTACAATACTTATTTCGGAATTTTATAACTATGTGATGGCTAAAAAGCTGAAGAATATATCGGCTTACCACATTCATACAGAGGGACCCTTTCCAATTATCAATCCTGAAGCAAGTAGTCACGTCCGATCTGTGTCACTTTTCACAGGTATAAAATACATAACATTACTGTCCTTCTACAGGCAGCAATTGTAGAGATCCAATCAAGAGTGGAAGAGCCGATTATGTTCCTATATTTTTGAGTGAAATACCACTCCTGTTTCGCAGAAATATCATAAAACTCGACCTAGCATTACTAAATATCAGTCCTCCGGATGTTAACGGGTATTGTTCTCTTGGACCAAGTGTAGATGTTACTCGTGCTGCTATTGAGTCGGCTAAGCACCTCGTTGGTAAGTTCTTACCATCGTGCTATAACTCTTAAAGGTCAAATAAATCCGAGCTTACCGGTCACTTCTGGAGATGCCCATGTACACATAAGTAACTTCACGTCGATCATCCACGGAGATATGCCTTGTCACTTTATGAATCCACGACAAATGACCGAAGTTGAAGATAAAATCGGCTCATTGATTGCAGATAACCTAATCGATGATGGTGCCACTCTGCAAACAGGTTAGTAAATATTTTAAAGGTAATTATTTTTCACCTAAACAATTGTTTTCTCGCAAGTCATTAAATCGCGTATATCCATAAACGCTGAAGTTCCTCACATTCTAATTTTTATTACTATTTCAAGCACCATATTTGTTTAAGATTTACTAGTATTAATGGAATTAAAGTTTTATTGCGTTACGACTGTTTTCTGTATGAAGAGATAAAGCTCGGTTGTGACCTAACTAACAACCGGGTTTCTTAATTCATTAGAATCTCCAAACCGATTAGCCAAAGCTTGGATGTTTAAATCTTGCCACTATAATTGGAAAATTCTCTCGATCTCACTGAAGTATCTGATTGTTTTTAATAGAGATAATGTTAGCGGGACATAGACTAGATTAAAGCATGCTCAATGCATGATTGTTTTGGTGCACGCTGATTGGCTGATTCTTATCCAATCAGCACTAGTCGATAGTCGGAGAATATTCTGGAATCTTCTTATGTAAAAACTATAAATATACCGACGTTTTCCCCTATTGTGCTTCTGACTTGCTATTTGGAATATAATCTCTTTCCTGTTCAACCGTGTTCTGATTTGGGGAGTTGTCGAGTGAATCGGTGTCCGAGAATACTAAGTAATAGGAATAGCTGGGTCATAACCGTAAGAAGAAAGAGATTATAACAGTGGCGACGGGGAAAAAGGAAAACAAATTCAAGATGCCCATATCAGATGACCAGCTTAACCGAATACTACAACAACAGCAAGCACAACTTGATGCACAAATGCGGTTGTTGGAGACTCTGACTCAACAGCTTAACATCCACTGCTCGAATTCACATGCTATTTCAAGTACGTCTTGTGATGCAGTCGCTAGCAGCATCCGAGAATTCATCTATGATTCCGAAAGTGGAAATACTTTTCTCACGTGGTTCAAACGTTGGGAAGATACTTTTAGAACAGAATTCTATAACCAAGACGATGCGTGGAAGACCCGATTGTTGGTACGTAAGTTGGGAAGCAATGAACATGCACGTTTTGCTGACCATATATTGCCAAAGTTACCTCGAGAGCTCAGTTTCGAGGAGACGGTATTTCAGTTGTCAGAGATATTCGGCGAGTCATCCTCGTTGTTTAGTATTCGATATCGCTGTCTAAATTTGGTGAAACGCGAAGCTGATGAATATGGTGTTCTAGCAGACATTGTCAACAGAGAATGTGAACGTTTCAAGTTACGCTCGTTGACTGATGACCAATTTAAATGCTTAATATTCATCAAAGCTCTTCAGTCACCACAAGATGCTGAGATCAGGACTAGACTTTTAGCTCGACTGGATCAAGACCCAAACGTCACACTCAAAACATTGACAGATGAGTGTAAGCGTCTACAAAGCATCAGACACGACAACGAGTTGATTGAACAGGTAAATCCTAATTTAACCTGCGGTAGTGTAAATACTATTACTAGGTTAAAAGTTCAGAAGCCGGTAACAACTCGTAACAAACCAAGGACTGCATGCTGGTTATGCGGTGATTGGCATTATGCACGATTCTGTCCGTTCAAGAAGCATAAATGTCAGGAGTGCAACAAACGTGGACATAAAAAAGGTCATTGTCCACCGAAGCGTACGTCTCAGCCTAAGAAGAAGCATAAACGTCCTCGACATGTGAAATCAGCCGAGTCCAAATCTCTTTCTCTGGTAGCTGCCTTTCAAACAAACTATGACATTCGGAGAAAATATGTTACCATCCAGATAAACGGCATATCAGCTCGTCTTCAAATTGACACGGCATCAGATATCACGTTAGTGTCTAGAGAAACGTTTAACTTGCTGGGTAAACCGCCAATGAAACCATCTAAGAAAACAGCTAAAAACGCATCAGGTGGTGTGCTAAAACTGGTTGGTGAATTACAGTGTGAATTTTCCTTCAATGGAACTAACTGTACAGGAATATGTTACCTAACAGAACGACCGAACCTTGATCTTCTTGGTCTAGATATGTTAGACAAACTTGGAATAATGGATGTACCAATTAACAGTGTCTGTAACGTATCATGTTCATCATTGGACACCCCAGTACTTCCAAAGAAGACAGGTGAAAGGTTACTAGGAAAACTGAAAAGAAAGATACAAACACATTCCGATGTCATCCGTCCTACGCCAGCTATTGAACCCCAACGAAACCTATCGATGGAGAATCAGTTTAACCGACATCATGGGGCACAAAGACGATTGTTCACGGTGGGACAAAAAGTGCTTTCTATGGACTATCGTGGGAAACATCCTACATGGACAGCTGGTCGGATCTTGAAAAAGAAGGGGAGTGTGGTTTACGAGGTGTCAGTTGGCTCGGAAGTTTGGGTACGTCATGCTAACCAGTTGAAAGCAACCTCGATAGCCAGCAACAAGATTCAATATCGATTACCTCTTGATGTTCTGCTAGACACCTTTGAAATCAAGACGCCGGGAATAGACACGTCAGTTTCTGTGCAAGAAAAGAGTGGTACTTCTCTATTGCCTAGACGATGGACTAATCAAAAGCACAAGCCAGTCACTCGGTTGCAGTTGGACCCTAGCACCAGATCCTACGAATCTGCTCAGAGGGGAGGTGTTAGGGGGACATAGACTAGATTAAAGCATGCTCAATGCATGATTGTTTTGGTGCACGCTGATTGGCTGATTCTTATCCAATCAACACTAGTCGATAGTCGGAGAATATTCTGGAATCTTCTTATGTAAAAACTATAAATATACCGACGTTTTCCCCTATTGTGCTTCTGACTTGGTATTTGGAATATAATCTCTTTCCTGTTCAACCGTGTTCTGATTTGGGGAGTTGTCGAGTGAATCGGTGTCCGAGAATACTAAGTAATAGGAATAGCTGGGTCATAACCGTAAGAAGAAAGAGATTATAACAGATAACTTTTATCTAACTAGAATACTTTTAAGACAGTCTCATTCCTAATACTTTAGTCTATTCTTTTTATTTTATTTATTTATTTAAACACAAATACTGGTACAGGGAGGCACCAGATACATATGCGCCACACAAACCTCATTTGATTTGTGTGAGGGCTGTGATACTGTCCGGGTGCCCAAACCGAAGCAGGTGGTTTTCTTAGGGGACCACACCTGGAGCCTTCGACCTAATGTTCTGATCCATAAGGCAGTGGAACAACGTAAGGAGATGCAGTCCCATGGTAACCGGTGACCAGCGATTGGTTCATACTCTCCTTGTCCACCAACCCGGTTAGAGTGCCGCACATTCGTTTTTTGTCCTCTCAATTCCATAAACAACACCCCCGACACAAGAAAGTAGTGAGTAGGACTTCCCTGGCAGAGGCTATATACGTGTGGCCATGTGAGAGCATTTCGAGAGGGAGGGCAGACTCTCCCCACTCTCGGCCTTACCTGGGCATTTGGGGACTTAGTCTATTCTATCTAATATACTAGTGACTTTATACCTATTCAACTAAAAAAGCTTTTCAGATACTTAGTACTCGTGAGCACTTATTGGAGCACATATTCTTCGTAAACAGTGTAGAACTCGACACAAATATGGATCAACCTAAATTGTCACAATCCACATCACCACAATAAGTGAAAATTAATAACAATCATTATCACACAATTACCTGCATAGCTAGTCTTGATAGCGATTAAAGAAAAAACTAGACACTGCTTCATGCCAGTGTATATTTAGTAATACGATCTGTCATATCAGTCAATATCTTCTAATTCATTGTTTCCAAAAGTGACTTTTGGCTATACATTCTATCATAATGTAATATTCATCATTTTTCGTGGTAAACTTTAATTTTTATTCCTAAGACTTTCCACTGGATTTTATTTACAAAATCCTTACATCACTTTTGCATTATAGGTATTGGGGCAATTCCAGATTCAGTCTTAGATAAGCTTTCCAACCATCGAAACTTAGGAGTTCACACAGAAATGTTCTCAGATGGAATTATTAAACTAGTTGAAAATGGTGTTATAACAAATGCGAACAAGGTAGTACGTCCAGGGAAAGTTGTCACGAGTTTTGTCATTGGTACAGAGAATGTTTTCAAGTTTTTACATGATAACCCATTGATTGGTGAGTCTCTACAGTTAAATTTTTATTGTTGTTTTTATAAGGTATTTCAAATAAACTTTATAGAATACTAATCAATATACTAACCGTTTATAAATCCCCATCACATTGAAACACCGATAAATGGACGATGAACATTCTTTTCAAGCCTTCTGCCCAGCGCTTTCATGTTTTCAGTTGTTGTCTAACTTAGATTAGTTCGTGATTTCAATAAAATCAACAATTTTTCCTTAATTTATAAACAATCATATGTTCACGTGCTATAATTTTAGACGACGTATTTGCCTTAAACCTGGCCACTTTTTGGATCATCAGTTGGGACAGACAACCATAGATCTTAAAGATAATTTGTTGAAAAGAATATTCTCGAACCATATATATTTAACTCTTTAAAGTACCATAATAAATTGCGTACGTTTTCTCCTTTTCTAGGCATCTTAACGTAGTTATACCAAGTCCGATTCCGTAGACATCACTTGTCCATAATTTTTTCAGTTCTACCTTGTGCGTATTTTGAGAAGACAATTCTCTCTATTTTTCTCAAATGAACAGAAAGGAAACTTATTGTTAATCGTTCATAGCCAGTCAGGTTTTAAGATCTGCTTGTTGTCAACTTACAACTATTCCACAAACTAAATTACACACCTATATTCCATTTATTTTTAACCAAGCTTCTCTTATGTATTTTCTCTCCACAAACCTCCAAGTTGGAACGAATTCTGTTTAAAATGACTAAAGATTCTCAGAACCAAAGTGTCTGTATCACTGTTGTGAAAAAACACCTTAGATTATAATTTTTAGTCCCATCAACAGTTTTATTCATATAGTCTTGTTCTTTTGTTTTGTATGGATTAGAATGATCTAAGCCAGAAATGGTTTTATGATCACTAACGCCTTTTTTATTTTCGATAACACTTGATAATGTTTCGAAATTAACGTATTTCAGGACTAAAAAGTAGCATATTTGTTCGTGTATTTTGATACTAGTTAAACGTCTTCTTAATTCCAATAATATTATCCAGTTGCTGGAATTTTAATGTTTGGGACCAGTTTCAAACATGTGACCAAATATTAAGTGATCATATGTACACGCCAATAAATTCTATTTGTATTGAATTCTCTGTATTATGGATTAACTTTATAGATTTGGTTCATTTCATGCTATAGAATAAAGCGGGTAAAGTTCTTTGGATAGAATAACATGAATTCATTTTATTTTTCAAGGTTTTCATCAGCCGCTTATAATAATGTGCTATATTTCAGTACCAAAATTAACAATACAGTTTGACATACAGTGATAAACATGGTCAGAAAAGTGACAGTGTGACAACAATTAAGGGAACGGAAATAAAGTTAAAGATTGCGTAAAATGTAGGACGAAGCTAAAGTGCAATGTTTGTTTGCTTAGTTGATTACAAGAAAATCATTTGATGAGTTCTATCCCCAATACTTTGTACTGTCTGCATCATATTAGTAAGAACATTCTTCTAATCCACAGACCAGTTCAATATATTCATTTACAAAAGTATGAAATAGGCTTTATTGGACTCGTCTTTTAGCTTCAGAAAATATCATATCTTAAATATAAAGTCAACAGTAATAGAAAATTATTTAATACCTTTCCGATTTTTCCTAAAAAGGAAACTCTTGACAAATTTGATTTTTTTTAAATCGTAATTTTATTTACCTTTTTTTAGCGAATTGATGCGTTTTAATACATTTCTCTCAGTTTTGTTAGGAATAACTTGAGGATGAACTACAGCATTTTGCTCCACTTAAAGATGTATTATGTACGATTTTTATAGATGAAACTGTTTCATACACAATCTGTATCGACTATGCCATACAAAAAATGTAACGTAAACATGCCAGTAATAAATGAGTGACGATTATTTTGTATCTTGGAGAAACTCAAGATATGAATTCACAGTAAACTAACCATGAATTAATCATGATTCATCAGGTGACTTATTCTAACTTGATCACAACAGAATAAATATCCAAATAGTTAAAACCTATAAAATCATGATCTATCTTCGTCTATTAAAAACACTGATAAACACTAATCAAATCATTTTGCAGATCCAAATGAAGTATATTTGTGTAACTTTTTTAATTAGAGTTTAAATCTGACCTCATTATCGTGACTTACTTACCAAGGGTTTCATGTATAACTTCTGTAAACTGAGTTCACATGTAAACTCTAATTGAAATACCAAATTTATGTAGTCAGTAATCATCTAGGAATCATAACAGTAATTCTCGGTTTCTATCTTTTGAAGAATTCCGTGATGTGGCCTGGGTTAATTCACCTTTTGTAATAGCCCGAAATCCAAAACCGGTTTCCATTAATTCATGCATTGAAGTTGATCTAACTGGCCAAATTGTATCCGATTCTGTTGGCAGTAGAATCTACTCAGGTAAATTTGAAGTACACATTGTTTCATTCGTTTTGACTGTATTTCTTTTTTCTTGTTGCTATAAACCATCCGTCTATTTAAGTCACATATTACCAAGCACAGACTTCCCACAATGTTTAGTTAAAGTTTTTTGAATCATCATTTGCTCACCAGTGACTAATTTCGAGGTAACTCCGTGATACCAGAAACTGACTAGTGGGCTCATGATGTCAATATCATTCGGTAGGCTCTACAAACTCCCTATACGAATAATTGTAAACTCGATTTTAAACCATCAGGTCCCTGATTTGAACCCTACTTCACTTCATGTTGGGTAACTAGATGTTATCATGAATCTGAGCTACAAATCTTCTCCACCATCTCGTTATCATGAACCCTCACATGAACAGTTCGGATCCAAGCTAATCTTCGGTACATATACATTAATCTTAACAAAACTCTATCCACGTGAAATAGTATCAATTTTCATCGTTTTTTTCATCCATCGTTTGAGATTTCTTAGCCTTGTACACTTACGATAGCTGATTATATTCCATTGCAAAAGATGTCCTCAAATTGTTCGCATTTTCACAAACTGCTTAAATAAACAAAATATCTGGTCTGTCTATCGGAACTTACTACAACTCGCCATATCTGATGAACAGTTTGCCAAAGCTAAAATATCTCTCGGTCCTTTTTTTAATACTAAATCCAGTCTTCAGTTACTAGTAAATCATTCTTGCATGTGATTCTTTCATGAAAGTTTTGTTTCGGTATGCTAATGATGATAATTGAGCTCATACTAGAATGTCCATAATGTCTTGTTTTATTCTGATTAAAGGATTTGGTGGTCAAGTTGACTTCATCCGCGGGGCTGCAATAGCTGAAGATGGTTTAGGCAAACCTATAATTGCTCTTCCATCTACGACAAAACGTGGTGAAAGTAAAATTTCTCCATGTCTTAAACCTGGTGCCGGTGTTGTAACATCTCGAGCTCATGCTCACTATGTTGTCACCGAATATGGTATCGCCTATTTATTTGGACGTAGTTTAAGGCAGCGCGCACATGCTCTTATTCAGATTGCTCATCCAGATCACAGGTAACCAAGTCGTGCTTCCTTTTTTATATGGACACTCGTTTGTTATTCTAATATCTATCTTCATAAATATATATTTTGATAAATTTGTTTGCTTGAGATTAGTCTTATCTGCAAAACTATTCTGATATTCGGATTCTTTGAGTAGTAAAACTTCATAATGATATGATAATAGCATATCACCGTGCATTGAAGTCCATCATCTTTTAGCAGTGTGCTGTAAACGTTCGTGCAGTACCCCTCCATTAGTTGCTTGTGGTGCTGTTGTTATCTAGAAAGACAGTGGACATTTTATGAATAGACCATCCATCTCAGAAAATACAGTACCACTCATATTGTCTATTAACAGTCTTAACAGCTAAGCAGTAATAACCAAGTTTAACAGTGATTTACATCTACTCAACTTTCTAAGAAAGTATGAAATTCATGACGGTCACAGATTAGTTTTGCCGATTTCATAGTTTCCAACTTCATTGATTTCGGCATAATGAATTCCATAATAATGATTGATCAGGTATACCTATTTTGTGTCTACTTCTTTCAATAGTGAAGAAATGTTCTCATACAAGTCCAGCGTTATCATGTAGTTAGTGCTGTGTATGATGTTTTTTGTCATCTCTTTTTTAATTGATTCATTCTTTTTTGTCAAAAACAGAGAATCATTAGAAAAGGCATCATTTGAACAACTCAAAGTAATTCCATCAGCTGATTAGAAAGAAAACTACGTGGTTCCAAAGAGATATGTGAATAAGTGATGTGTAAAGTAAAACAAGTGATGAAATTCTTACAAACATGCTATTAATAATTTATGTAATACTCGTACATTGTAACAAATAATCTTGCGGAAAATTTATTTTTAACATTTATTCTGTAGTGCTTTTACTAACATATGTATTTTACCACATTGCTTTATAATTGTATTTAATTTATACTTATTATTAGTGTTTAAGTTACATTATCTTCCAAGTCTCAGATATTGTTTGTCATGCGTATTTTCTTTACTATACGAAGATCGGAGGAGGGTATGGGGAGCAGAATAAGTTGCTGTCAGACTGAATTGGAGTAGATAGATTTTTATTTCAATATTTTTAGGACGATAAAAGTCTAACGCCCCTTGGCTTTCACTAGTACCAAAATTAGTGTCACCCATTGACTGAAATCACTAATACATAATAAGTGTTTGAATGTCAGGCATTGATAGACTTTTGTTATTTACCTCTACTAAAGTCTATTGTTAATGCGCTAGGCCACCTACTGGACTTGGATTTATTCTTCGTGATACAGAAAACATTTTGTGTAATATTGCTACACCAATAGTAAATTATTACTTCTTCATAATTGGCTAAATGAAATTTAAGAGTTCAAAAAGAGCATTATGTTAATTCAACATTCCTACTTACATAAACTAGTTGGTATTCGTTAGCATGTCATATCAGCAGTCTTACGGGAAATAACTCTTTTTGTGAAATTTTAACCTACATCGCTCATTCTTATGACTGGAAACGGTGACTTTAAGCTATTCGAAGTGAGACTTTCTGTAGGTCCTATACTCACTAATAAGATTAACCCGAACTATTCACGTTTAGAAAAACATATATAAGCGAACAATATTGTTTTCGATTACATCCTGACCAGGTTTTACTCTAATATACAGTAATATTTATGTGCATATGCGAAATTATTAAACCAGTCAAGGTAGTTTATGAGTCAATGATAAAAATGGAAAAGACTACATAATAAGTGAGAAGTAAAAATTGGTAGTCTGATGACAGGTGTACTAGTTTTTGATAAGAATAATAAAGGCTTAAATCAATGTCGTAGTACGGGTTTCCTCACCAGTGAGCATCCACGATCCCGAACCCCGCGAGATTCGAACCCAGGACCTATCAAACCCTCAATACCTTTTTTTCTCTCAAACCTACGCTTCACGCTCTAATTATCAGAACACTTCTTATTTCGTAATCTTATAATTTTTATAAATGTTATCCCACTGTCTATATTTTTTTAATCATTGACCTATTTCCGATTTAAGCCTTTATTATTCTTATCAAAAACTAGTACACCTGTCATCAGACTACCAATTTTTACTTCTCACTTATTATGTAGTCTTTTCCATTTTTATCATTGACTCATAAACTACCTTGACTGGTTTAATAATTTCGCATATGCACATAAATATTACTGTATATTAGAGTAAAACCTGGTCAGGATGTAATCGAAAACAATATTATTCGCTTATATATGTCCTAAATTTACAATATGGTAACTATTCACGTTTGTAAAACAACCGAAGAAATATCACATTTCTATGTAAGTTTCATCTGATTAATTACTCAAATTTACATTACCATCATGTCTTAAACACTTTACTGTCCATCATGTATACAGTTATTTTTATGTAGTTAATAATGTTATCCTAGTTAATAATATGGTCTAAACCATAACTTATAAACCAAACAGACCAAATCCTACTAAAATTTCAATCCTTGAATCTAACCTAATTAGATTATTTAATATACAACTCTCATACATTGTGGTAACATAACATAAAGTGGGACGGAACGCAGCAGTTCGTTCCGTCCTACTTTATGGCAGTGAAACATGGCCGGTAAGAGTAGAGGATATCCGTAGGTTACTAGTATTTGATCATAGATGTCTTCGAAACATTGCTCGTATATCATGGGACCATCAAGTAAGTAACACAGTTGTTAGGAAACGGGTACTAGGTAAGGATGACAAATCAATTGATGACGTAGTAAATCTTCATCAGTTGAGATGGCTGGGACACGTGTTACGTATGCCCAACGACCGACTACCCCGACGTGCTATGTTCAGTGGTATAGGAGTAGTTTGGAAGAAAGTTAGGGGCGGCCAAACCAAAACATGGCACAAGTCCATGAAGTCACTGACAAGTGGACTGAGTCATGTTGGTAGGTGTAGACTACCTGGTTGGGGACCGCGAGATGACAGCAACCGATGGTTGGAGACCCTGAATGACATGGCTCAAAATCGTTTGCAATGGCGCAGGTGCATCCACTCTCTGTGTTCTCCCAAACTCTAATCTTCTGAATTCTTCATGTCCCTTTTTTCCTCTTTCCAAATTTCTTTCACTGGATTATACTCTTTAAATAACATCTCCAAACCCTAATCTTCCCGATTACTGCTTATACTCGTGCTACCTCTATCACTACGGGATTTGAATCGACAAGTGCATCTCTGTGCTAATGTGGTGTGGCAACTCGAACTGATGTACGTACGTACGAAGTTCTACGTTGTTACTGACTGACTGACTGAAATTAACATCATGTTTTGATTGTTATAGCATTGAATTAGCCTATTTTATAATGCACCATTATGTGAGGTGAGAGATACTGCACTCAGGGAATGTTGATGAGAATATCCATATTCAGATGAGAAACTGTTACTACGTGTCAGTTATGTGATGTGTCACAAAGATAGCAGCAGAAATTTCAGTTTATCAATTTAATGTCTTGGAAAACTCGTTTCAATTATCTGTAGTGTCATGTAAAATTCAGTGATTGAAACTTCTCATCGTATTTCATGGACTATGAGAAATCAACAAGGGCGATTAATTAGTTTCAGCCACCAGAAGTTAGTTTCGAAAAATACCTATAAGTCAATAAAAATAAGACATATTTCATTCTAGTCTAAAACTGCTAGTTCTCATGAAACGCGTGTCAAAGTATACATCTCCCACCAGATTCCTAGTTCATAAATTTCAGGCAATCGGTTTATGTTGTAATTGTTCCTCGTCCTTAATGGGTACATCTTACTCGTATTCTTCAAAAGCGCAATCAAAATCTTATGCGTCAACTTTGTATTGATCAATGAACAGTCAATCTCAAAGCTGATATGTAAGAAATCGTCCTGTTTATGTAATGGGGAAAGTAACAGGAAGTAATCTGCTGAACAGTTTATGATTTCCAGTTTCACTACTGGTAATTTTCAGTGAAAACTACAAAAAGCACTCAAAGCCCATTGATTCCGCGATGAGGTTTATGTAATTACAATAGTAGGTAGATTTTCGTGTTTGGTTAAATAATGTTATTGAAAAATCATAAATAGACGTGGATGAAATTGTCCAAATAACAGTCCAAACAAATCGCATTTTATTTCATTTGGTACACAGAAATATCATGATTATTAAGTAATATGTCGTCATCTAGTTCATATATATTCACTAAACTTTTAATATGTACATATTTACATTGAAAATCAATAGAGAAACGCTAAAATTGATGACCTCAAAATCTTTAATGGCCCGATATCTGACTCGTTAGGTCGTATGATTGATTTATATTGAGATATACATGTCACCAATCCTCGTATATAATTACCGACTTAATTTGCGTTAGTAAATAATGGAATTAAACGAGTCAAATATGAGGATGGATTTCCAATACGTATATTTCATAAAATCATTGATCCAGAGAAACGAAGCGAAAAGACGCGCGGTGGATAAGGCATGTAAGCCAACTCGATTTAACCAAGTGTTAGTCAATATTTAGAATCATATAAAAATACGTTACAGGCATTTGATGAGCAAGATGAGAAATGCATACACATACGCTCATATCAAAACAGTCAATGTTGATAAGCGAATAATTAACAAGATCGGAATGTGACTCGAACAGTATAAATAAACCGGCTTGTCCAGAAGCTAGAATAAGTTATGTGGGCTTAACATAGTAACGGACACTACGATACAACGCATTAAAATACCAGAATATCTCCGGGCTTCGGCTAAAGATGTAACTACTCAATAAAGTAGAAAACTTATGACATTACTTCATTCTAATAAAGGAAGTGGTTGAACTAGTTTGAGTACAAAGTAAATGAAACAGGAAAACATATGACGGGATTTCTACTGCTATTTACTTCCTCTTTCTCTAAAAATAATTACTATTTCTACGAACGACAATTTTACCGGTCCTGTGACCTTCACTCTATTAATTATCACAGAAGAACCCTTCCACGGTGTGGGCAACCGGGAAGTGATAACCGCCCTCATACCTCTAACAGCACTCAAGACCACTGTATTCATAATCAACCTCCCTCTTCAATTCCTATTATTCCTCCTACATCGATTTCAAACTCTAAACTTCTTTTTTCCGGCTTCCCCCTCAAGTGTGACCATAGCCAACGATTCTAGTGCTCCAAACACTGTCCCAGGTCTACTGAAACCTCGCTCCAAACTACACATTGGAGCCTTCAATGTACGCACCCTATGTCAAGTCGGTTAACAGGCTTCCTTGGCTAGAATCTCGTACCATTGATGTATGCTGTGTCTCTGAAACACGCATACAGGATCCTAATGTGGTCATTCACTTGACCTCACCTCCGCAAAACGGAGAGCCAACGAGATACACCCTCCGTGTATCTGGTGACCCGATGGCCAGTTCTCGTGGACTGGCAGGAGTAGGGATAGCACTAAGCATGAGGGCGGAACAAGCACTGTTAGAGTGGGTCCCCGTCAACAGTCGTCTATGTGCTGTTTTTTGCCAAACGGCTCCTTAAGAACTCGGAAGGATAGGGACACACGTCGTTGCCTTTTTGTCGTTTCTGCCTACGCTCCCACCGACTGCAGCTCAGATGAAATGAAAGATGAATTTTACAGAAAGCTATGTGAACTTCAGAAAGCTAAACGTTCAGACATAGTACTCGTAGCAGGTGACTTTAATGCCCAGATAGGTAGTTTAAACCAAACAGAAAGGCATTTAGGTGGGTATTTTAGTATTCCTGCACAATGGACAGAAAATGGTGATCGTCCGCTGCAACTGTGCTCAGACAATCGTTTATTTTTAGCAAACACAAATTTTAAGCATAAGGAGAGACATCGTCTAACATGGCGACCCCCTACACCAAACCAACAATGGACTCAAATAGACCATATTGCCATCAGTCACCGTTGGAGAGGGTAGGTAGGAGATTGTCGCTCATTCTGGAGTACGT